AGCAAGTGGAAGCTGGCAGAACTTCCACCCGGAAAGAAGGCATTGCACAACAAATGGGTGTACCGGGTGAAGACTAAGCGTGATGTCATTAAAAGGTACAAGACTAAACTTGTTGAAAAATGCATTCAATAAATACAAGATGTTGCCCATGCAGTGAGAGTTGTAAGAAGAGACAAGAGTGACCCAGGACATAGCTTGGAGATGCAAAGCTATGTGGAGTCTGCTGATATGTTGACTGAGGATGTTACTCTTGAGAAACTGAAATAGAGGATTATCTTTATGGGAAAAAACTTCATCTTCTGTTATTGGGAAAAAAACCTGAAAGAATAGATGAGGCTGAATGGAATTTGTTGGATTGACAAGTTCTGGGGGTTATTCGATTGAGTCTATCGAGGTATGTTGCACACATCGTCGTCAAGAAAAGAACGACTGCAGAGCTCAGGACAGTTTTATCAAGTATGCATAAAAAGCCATCAGCGAATAACAAGGTGCACTTGATGAAGAAGTTATTCAATTTGAAGATGGCAGAAGGTGTTTATGTTGCTCAACACCTGAATATTTTCAATACTATCACAAATCAATTGTCGTATGTGGAAATTGATTTTGATGATGAGATATATGCACTGATCTTGTTGGCTCCATTGTCAGACAGTTGGGAAGCCATGAGGATAGCAGTTAGCAGTTCTGTAGGTAAATCTAAACTGAAATAGGATGATATTCGTGATTTGATTTTGGCTGAGGAAGTTAGATTCTGTCGAGGGCTCAGGTTTGAGTTCGGCCCTGAATGTTGATTTCCGAGAGAGATGACATGACAGGAAATCAATGATAGAGAGATCAAAATTAAAGTTTAGTAAACAGGCAACCTGTTGGAATTGTGGCAAGGCTGGCCACATAAAGAAGAATTGCAGAAGTCCTAAGAAGATGGAGAATGATTGGGCAAATGTTGTATCTAAAGAATCATATGATGCACTTTTGTTGGCAGTTCATAGTTCTGTTGAAGACTTGATGTTGGATTCAGGGGCCTTGAAAGTGGTAGAAAATCTACCAAAGGTCACAGTGCAGGGCAGTGATGGAAGTGAAGAAGCGAGTGGGTCCGGGGCACCCATTCCTAATGTTCCACAGACAGATGTTACAGAACTACAGAGCTATGAAGAAATCTTACAAAATGAAAATTTGAGCAAGTGGGAGCTGGCAGAACTTCCACCAGGAAAGAAGGCATTGCACAACAAATGGGTGTACCGAGTGAAGACTAAGCGTGATGTCATTAAAAGATCATTGCACAACAAATGGGTGTACCGGGTGAAGACTAAGCGTGATGTCATTAAAAGGTACAAGACTAAACTTGTTGAAAAATGCATTCAATAAATACAAGATGTTGCCCATGCAGTGAGAGTTGTAAGAAGAGACAAGAGTGACCCAGGACATAGCTTGGAGATGCAAAGCTATGTGGAGTCTGCTGATATGTTGACTGAGGGTGTTACTCTTGAGAAACTGAAGTTGAACACAACTTCAGTTGGTCTTCTGAAGTGAAGAAAGAGGCTTTGAGTTGCAGAGGTGGAGGATACACATGTGGAGGATTCAAGGTATAGGATTCATGGTGGAGAATTCATGTTTGAAGTAAAAAACAACACTATCAGTAGAGGATTCAGTTCGAGGAAGGAGATGTTGTAGCATGTGTACCGATCTCCAGGTGGGAGATTGTTAGCGCTAACGTGGAGTCCGGTCCACCTAACCCACGAACTCTCGCTCCCGCCTCTCCTTATGTTTTCGCAAAACGACGCTTTCGATCGCGAAGGGTCACACATCTTCACAAATAACCACTCTCTCCTTTCTTTTTGCGAAGAGAAGCATCCCTTTGCCAGAAACCGCTTCCGCCTCCTCTATTTTGGGAAGCGAAGCATCCCTTTGCTTTCTTCTCTTCGTGATAAAAGGAGAGGCTCTCCTTCATATCTGTAAGTCACAAGAAGTCACGATTTTCTTCTTTAGGTTTCCTGGGATAGAAGAAGAGTTATCACAATACCTTAACTAAAGAAAGATAAACTAAAGAAGAAGTGCAAGGAGTAGTTTCTTGTGGCAGAAGAAAGAAGAAGATTGTTCTCCCTAGGCTTCTTCTTGGTGGCTTGTGGCAGGAGAAAAATTGGGTTTATTTCTCTTGTAAGTTTTTCTTCTTCGGTGTATCTCGGTGTAAAGTTTTCTACGGTGTATCTCAGTGTAGAGAGAGAAGAACAGAGACAGAAGATGAGAGAGCAACGAAGAGTGAGAGATTCCTCTTTAAGTCGAGGTGATCGACTGATGTAAATTTCCTCAAGTAGTAAAATCTTCTGCAACTCCGTGGACGTAGGCAATTTGTCGAACCACGTAAATCTGTGTGTTCTTTTCTGGTGTAATTTTTCTCGTTCTATTTTTCGCTTTATCGATCGTTCTACTGTTTGATTTATATATATACCACATCAACTGCTCAAGTATATATTTCATAACAAACTCAAGACTTCAAACAACAATAAGATATTGACTATCAAAAAACTTTTAGTCTTATAACCAAATTCTTTATTATTAATATGCTCATTATTTTGGCTACAACTGAACATTGAGACATACAACAACTTGATGTATCAAATGTATTTTTACATAGCAAATTAAATAACAAAATATATAATTTAAAACGTTTTGGTTTCATAGACATTCATTATCCTCAATATGTGTGTAAGTTAAACAAAATAATATATGGCGTCAAACAAGCATCCAGACAATGACATTCAATCTTTTGATCGCATTTATCTACTTGTACATGTTCATATTCTCATCATTGGGAACTCTCTGAAAGTCATAAATACTTTAATTCAACCATTAGACAACCAATTTAATTTAAAGTAGCTTGGTCACCTGTCATTTTCTCGATTTGTAAATAAATAAAATAGAAACCAAATATTTTTTACATCAAACTAATTATCTCTCTGATCTTTTAACAAAGCAAGTATGTTTCAGTCTAAACTTCTTTTAACACTTTACCACTTCAATCAAAAAAATGTCATTCCATTGCCACATATTTCTAATTTGCAACACTATAGACATCTCATTAGTTCTTTACAATATCTTATGATTACCCGACCCGATATAACATTCATTGTTAATTTACTGATTCAGTACATGCATAATCCAAACACACATCATTATCAAATTCTTAAAAGACTACAAAGATACCTTAACGACACTCCCAATCATGGCATCCCTACTACAACTAAACCACTTTCTTTACATGTTTTATGCAGATGCCAATTGGACTAGTGATAAAGAAGATAGAAAATCAACTACAGGTTTTTGCCTTTACCTTGGTCCAAATTTAATTTCTAGTCGGCAATGAAAAAAACCACTGCTACAAGATTTTCCACAAAAGCAGAATATAGAGCTCTTACAACTACAACTACAGAGATCCTCGGGATATAAAGGCTGATTCACGAAGTTACCAACAGGCCTATAACCACCACTACATTCTACAGTGATAGTACCTCAGTCATAGCTCTTGCTCATAACTCTGCATTCCGTGTGAGAACAAAACATATTTAGGTGGATTATCACTTTATAAGAGACCATATCAAACTCAAGTATATAGTTCTCAAACATATAATGACAGAAGATCCGGCATCAGACATTTTCACCAAAGCTCTCAGAGCGAAAAAAAGCATCATGATCTTACCATCTGATACTAAGAAAGTGTGGTAGCAGCTTCAGGTCTCAGCTTTACCTCAAAAGGTGTAGTAGCAGCTTCAGGTCTCGTCATCTCCTCCTCTTCTCCCCGCTCCAACCACTAACCTGCTCCCAGGATCGTCGAACTGAGCTAAGACTCAAAAAGCTTGTAATGTTAGATTTTATATTGAGGGTTTAGCACGTTAATTACCTCTGTAACCTTATCTTTGAATAAAAAGTTTGTCATTATAAAGTCTATATGTAGGACATCCCGTAATAACATTCAAAAAAAAGATTATTTTGCTGTTTCAATTCTGTTCTCCTCTTCTCTTCATTCTCTGAATTTACATAGATGAAAGTGATGAGTTCATTATCCCTTCTGCAGCCTAATTATCTTCGTGGAGAAAAATTTCTACCGAGGAATCAATATCGGATTAATGAATACTACAAATCAACAAATCGTAACTAGACTTCAGCATCCGGCGCGGAGCAGTTGAATATCAAGGGAGAAGAATCATACCGGACGGCGAGGTTGGTGATGTAGACAACGGAGGGGGTATTATCCTGAAAAAGTCGAACTGTGGCAAGCTCATCCGACTGGAGCTTTCTGGGCGTGGAAACCACGAAGGCCGACGCGGGATCGACGTCAACCAATAAAAGGGAGAGGGAGAGCGTGACTGACGTCAGAAGGAGAGAGATCGAATCAATGACAGCGAAAATAACACCGCGAACGCTGCCGTCATGATCCCCCTGTCCTGAGGTTGTGATAGAAAGGGGGGAATTAGAGGGCAAAACAGCAGCGGCCGGATATCTTGGTCTGTGGGGGTGGAGCACGACAATCGGATGGGGCTTGCGATAGATCGAAGAGAGAGATGAGGGGCGAGGAAATAAGACGGAAATTTTAGCAGAGAAGAGGGCCGGGCGGAGGGAGAGCAATGGCTGAGCAGATGCCGCAGCCATTCTCGAGCACCAATCGCGACGCCGAGCCTCTCAATATGTTTCATCCTTCGTTGTACGGAATGCTTCTCGAGTGGACAGGAGCTCTCTAGAGTACTTCCCCTAATCCTAATTGGGTGGGTAAATGCCTAATTCTTTTAAATATTTATAAAAAAAAAATATCGACAGTCAAGCTCTCTAGAGTACTTCCCCTAATCCTAATTGGGTAAATGTCTAATTCTTTTTAAATATTTAGAAAAAAATATATATCGGCAGTCAAAATTATTAAATTATTAGTCAAAATTATTAAATTGTATAAATTATATATTTATTTATATAAAAAAGTTTGTAAATTCCGATAATTACATGCTCTCGACATGAACTAATTTTGTCTCTATTTCATCAAAAAATATTATGTACTATGGTATGTTTGAAAAAGTGTGAATTTCGCGCTATAATAATACTATAATATTATCAATTCGTGCATACGTTATCCACACATAATTTTTGCTCCTATTTTACATAATATTAAAGATTTAGTGTTTTGTATGTAAATATAAATGTTTAGCTTTTAGATGTGTAAATAGGTGAGAATGTTGTGTTGTGAATGTACATGTGTTAATAGATAACAAGTTTTAGTCTAAACAATTAAAAATAATAATATATAAAATTTTCACAAGTTTTTGTAAGGTCGACATTGTAATTCAGAATATTTTGTAACTTATTCCTACCTGTGGAATAAGGAGTTTTTGTAATCGTCAACTTAAAATGGATTTTTACAACTGGATCAGACCTCTTAATTTTTTCCTTTTATGGGTTTTCCATGTAAAAGCTTCTGATGTCACTACTGGTTGTTTATTTATTTATGTATTTATTTGTGTGTTGAAATCTCGTGCAACTATTTTTAAATCTTTGCTTATTTGAACTCTCATCCCATCCCTGAGCTAGTTTTTTCATTACTTAAGAAGTTTCAATGGCCGCATTAGTATTTTAAGCTATGAGGGCCCTTATAAAAGTGTTATACTGTCGTTTATTGGAATTCAATTGGGACGATGCTTTCTGAATTTTTTAGTAATATCTTCACCACATTAAGCATTGCATATTATGATACTAATGATTCTCAGCTTCAAATTGTTTGCAAGGTCTGACATAAGTATTATTTTATGCTTTAATTTTCTACAATTATGTCTATCTGAGCTTTGAGAGCTTTCATTTATCTGATCAGAATTCCTAGATGAAGCCCTCTGTGATGAAAAATTATTGCATATGGTGTTCAATCTCCACTGTTCATCACACAAAAAAGTGTATAACTATGGAGATCGGACACCGTATACATTTTTTAGAACTATTTTGCTTGGGTTCCGAGCCTTGTGTTTCTTTTTACTACATTTCTCATGCATTTCCTTGGCCTTGTGTTTCTTTTTACTACATTTCTCATGCATTTCCTTGTCTTTTTTAGTTTTAGTTCTTTTGAGTTTTATATTTATAATTGTTATTCTCTTTTTTATAGGTGTAATTGAACTTATTTGTTTGTATGTTAGTAGGACATTTGCCCTTGTTCAGTGGTGTAAGTGTGTCAAGTCGACTCGTGAACCGGCTCGAACTCGGCTAGATAAGTTGCTCATGAAGTGAGCTTGATGAGTTAACAAGCAAAGCACAAGCTAGCTCCATCTAGACTCGTTAGCTTGTGTCGTCTTGTTTAATATATATATATTCATTAATTTTGAAGGCTTTATTTTTAAATTATTTAAAAAATTTAAAAATTCTTTATAATAAATATGGCGGCTCGTGAGTTGCTCGTTAGCTCATTAATTTAAACTTAAACTTAAGCCCAAACTCAATGAAATTAATTAAGCAAATTTAAACTCAGCTCGAGCTAGGCTAGACTCGCTTACAGCTGGGCCTGGTTATCCTTATTAAAAATAATAATAATAATAATAATAAAACAGCACATATCATAAATCCAAAGTGGGAGCGTGAACTCGTGCGAAATTATAATCGCGTGATTCGTGTCGCGCCAGGACACGTCTTAAGCATTCGGGTCAAATCGGAAATTAGGTTGAAAATGGAAACGTGCCGCGCGAGGCGTGGAGAAATCTTTGCGGAAGAAAGGCGAGGGAAGATTACGAACGGAATCGAGGCGACAATCCAGAGGCTGTTGAGGAATGCTCCACATCAACGCAGCTGATCTTCGCGCCGCCCTCCAGGCCGCGGCTACCGTCTGTTACCTAAACCCTGGGCA